AGATACAGTGATAAAAACTTGCTAATTTTTCTGCTTGTCAGGCAGTTGTTGAAGGTCTGTTAGTAGGAGCTTCTAGCACTCAGCATTTCCACACTTAATAAATAAACCCAGCTTCCAAAAGACAGTTAAAAAACCTTACCTAAAACACCTTTAGTTGTAGAGAAGAAATCTGCTTAGATGATCTGGAGCTATGTCAATGACTGAAATAAAATATTAGCCAAATAGTTGAAAGCACTTACAATTCTGCAGCTCTTGAGAGGTTTTCAGTTGCCTCAAAGTGGAGGACACCTCTTAAATGAGACAGTTCCCTTATTCTCCAGGAGGAACTTACTAAACTACACAGGAGGGAGGTGGTTGTGGCTTCTGACAGATTTCACCAATACAAGGCATAATTTTGTAACCTTCCTTCTTGCTCAACTAATTTTTCTGCTGTTGACTTCGCTAGGACTGTTCTGAGAATTCATCTGTTTATATCCAGATTGCTTTGGGACACCTCATGCAGGAGAAAACCCTATTTTAAAAGGCAAGGTTTGTGCTAAGTTGAACACTAGATCAGATCTCAAAAAGTGATTTTTCTTAAATTCTGAGAGTTCCCAGCTTTTTCTCCTGCAAATTATGTCAGACCAACAAAACTGCATTGACTTAGCTTTTCCACAAATCTGGGACAAGTTCAACACATCCCACATGAAATTTGCTGGATTATGGGTCTACAAGACACGTGGAAATATCACTGGATTATCAAGGCTAAGGCCATATTGAATTTTTAGAAATCCTGCTTTGATGCAAACCAGAACCAGTGATGCATTCTACAGCATCAATATTTCCATGGTCTCACTATCTGAACCTTATTCCTAGATCATGGGGTGAGAAGAGCTGGACTTGCCAAGTTGTATTGTTGTAACCCTGGACGGTATTCATGTATCTTGCCTTCTAAGCTAGAGCAGCCCGCCATTGAGAACATACTTTATGATTTAAGTGCCTACATGCTTTTCCCTTTTAAAAACCTGATCACATGTACCTTTTTGGCCATCTCCCAGACCCAACCAGGCTGAATGACTTTTCTCCTCACAAAAGGAGAAGCTACATTTGATAGAATGTCCATGCAAATGTGGGTTTATTTCTACACAAACACCCTTTTCCTTTTTTAGAATCCAGTGGCACCTTTAAGACCAACAAAGGTTTGTTCTCTGGCTATAAGTTTGAACCTTCCCTGCCATTTTAATGTATTTGAAAAGTGTGCATGCACACAAAAGCGCATACCTTGAATAAACCTTTGTTGGTCTTAAAGGTGCCACTGGATTCTAAATTTGTTCTACTGCCTTAGACCAAAACAGCTGACCTTCTGAATCTACCCTTTTCCTTCATTCCCTGCTCTGTCAGGTGGCTATTTCTCAACTTTTGCCTACACACTGCTCCACAGACATCCCTGCCTCTAGGTCCCCTCACCTTCAATTTTCCTTTGCCCATTTTTTCATACAGCTTTTCTGTCACTGTTTCTCTTATCCCTAGACGTGTTTAAAGCTTATCCCAGCCACACTTTAATTTCCATTTACTGACAATTAAGGTTTTCAATCATTCTGCTGAGAGCAATTACTTCAGAATGACTATTCCATGCGATCAGAGCAGGTAATCAAATGGGCGGAGAGTCTTTACTGCTAGAGGTTGTTACTCTGGAGAAGACTATGGCTTTGACAACTCCTGTAGCACTGCCAAGGTTCTCCAATACCTGTTCTGTTGAGAATACATATCCCTGCTGCTAAAGGCTGTGTATTTAATATGCAAAGTGGGCCCATACTAATTATCCATGTCTTTTTCCCTGCTTTTCCACATACACCTAAGATAAAGCAGGTAATAGTACCACAGATTGCATTTCCTAAAACATGTTAAGAACCATACCCTGGCTAAGAGTCCTCAATGTCCACACCATTCGGGTTTTGCACTCACATGGAGGTTGTATAAACAGTGCACACAGAGCATATTGCTCCACAATGAAGCCATTTTATTTTTAAACTATTTAACACAGCAGCATTATATTCACAAACAGATTAACGCTGACAGCATCCTAGCATTATCCTGAATACAAAAGTGCGATGGTCAAAGTAGCCAGGCCATGGCAACTCTAACCAAAATGGTCAGGTAGCCATAGGCAAATCAACTAGCTTTATTTTTAAAAAGTGCCCATGTCTGTGCTTCAGTTAGGGTGGCTCTTGTACCACACATTGTTGTGTAGTACAGAACACCACACATTCCCCCAACCCCTGTAGGTTTCTGTACAGAAAGGATACTTCTAAAGCAACCTCCTGAATAATCTTACAAGGTGGTCCCTAAATGCTCAGATGAGTTGTGTGAAGCAAAGGTATTTTGAGAACTTGCTCAAAAACACAGTCTTTTAATATGTTCTGTAACATAACATGGCTAGTAGTCCTTCAGTTCTTGCTCCTGTATCATTCCCTCCACAATTACCCTTGCAATCCATCAGATGCTTTACCCCATCCCCCATTTTGCACTCTGCCTAGAATCTGGGTAGGGTACACATAAAAAAAGGGGAAGCTACACAAAACACAGTTGTAGTGTTTGTCAAAAGTAAAACTGAACAAGCCAGTAAGTTGTTACCCCCACTATTTTCCCCTGCAACACAGAAGCAGGCAAGTGGAATGTACCTTTCAGTAACCACAATGGGGTGTCTTCAGAGGTTTGAGTCTGCTTCCTAGTTTCAGCTCCTCCTTATTTCACTAAGGAGAAGTTCTTCATAAAGCAGAGCTCACATGATATGGACAGAAGGGAATACCATCCCAACTACCCCATGCTGAGAACATGAAAAATAAGAGCCTATTGCAAACAGGCAAGTCACAATAACAGCTGTGGCTTGCACAGTGCTATTAGAGATGTGGGCTCTGAATTTCTAACACCTTCATTTCAAAAGTCAGTATTAAACTCCTGAGGGTTTTGACAATCAGACACCAGTGGCAACCAAATCATCCACCTCAAGCGTAGCATGAAACCCTCTGAATCCAGTTCTCACACTGAGAAAATAATGGGGCTCCAGTATTAAGAGGCAAGTGCCAATTTCCTCAATAGGATTAAACGTGCCCTGGTCTTTCAACACAGCTGGCCAGAACACAGGTAGCTGTGGAAGTTAATGAAAGCCTGTAGGACTAAATCCTTATCATCCAAAGCACAGGAGTTTCCCTAGGGGAAACCCGGCCATGCCACAACAACCTCAGTCCCTGGCCATTCAGTTTTAAGTTCGTTTAGAACAATTACAGCCAAAGAAGAATTAAGGGCGCTAGAGGTCTGATCTGTACAAAAATCAGGTAGAGTGACTACACTAGAGAAACTATCCCAATATATTTCCTGAAAAGAAGCTCAGAGAAGGTAGCGAGGTATATTTCAGAGACTCATGGCTACCATGGGCTGCATTTCTTTTCCCAGACTACTGTTACTCCTACAGACTTGCACCAAGATGAAAATTCATAGTCCTTGACCATTTTGCCTATGAAAAAGTTCAAAATGCACAGTAGAGCATCAAGGCTATAATTACTTGGTGCAATCCAGTACTATCTGAGCAAGGAATCCCATTCAAATTTGTAAAGCTATGGCTAAGTGGACATTGACTGCCCACCACACCAAGGCCTCCACCCTTATGAAAGGATGATTAGCTTGCTAAACTAAGCCAGTCCTTCTCTTCTCTCCCCACCTCACCAACAACAACTGTCATGTTAACACAGAAGGATAAAGGAAAGCATCCTGTAAAGATATCAGTCAGTATGCTCTCACTCCATGCATGAGCAACTCATCTTCCTGTATTCTTCTCTTTTTACAACTACTTCCCTGAGAAGCTCACGGCCCTGCTTACAGCAGCACATGGAGAAAACAGCTGCACAAACTGGGAAGGGCTGGAAAAAGGAGGCCAAGGAGGTGAAATCACTCCTTTTCTACCACTCTGCTAAAGAAAGGGGTCGATTTCAACCCATGAGTCCAGCGCATTGACCTTCGCAGCTGTTCCTTTGCACAGATCCTGCAAACATAGGAAAGACCATTTTAGGGGTCAGAGAGCTTCAGGAATTAAACGGAATGTGGGGGAAACTGCAAGGAGAGGACAGAATGCAAGGGGAGGACAGAATACAAGCAAAGTTTTACCTGAGGCAAATATATGAAAGACGGCAAATGGTTACTGTGCTAGACAGGAGTCTCAGCCACAGCCAGAACTTGCACTGATCCTTCATTGCAAGCATCATGCTAACTCACCACAGTTAGCACTTAAACACATTTTCTTTCCCAGCCACATTAAAACTGTTTTAAAGATAAGGTTTTACAATACTACATTGCACATCAGTCTCCAGTGCTTCTCATAAATAAAGAGTTCTATAATCTTCCCAAGTGTTATAACCACTATGTAGTTTTATGCAATAGAATAGGGTGGCAAAAGTCATCAGAGCAAAGGTCCCAGCTCTGATTAACTGCTCCTTCAAACAATTGTCTTGGTGACTCCATTGGTTGTTGTGCCCAGTTAGGCCATTTCAGCTAATAACAGTGAAGACAGCATCTTCAGCAAAGAAACTGCAGACATTTTGGTTGCTCTGCAGCATCATGGATTTGATTTGTATGGGATAGTTCTTCTCTTTGAGCTGTAGAAGTCTGGAAAAGAACAGAAGGACACTGAACTGAACTTGCTGCTAGGAGGAATGAGGCAAATATAGATACATGGAAGAGAGCAGGTTTCAGGGCATCTTTCAGTCAGCCAAAGCCTAGAAACCCCAACTATGCCCTGGATGCAGTATGATTTTTAGGTCATTCACTGCCAAAACCTTATTTCCTCTTCTTCAGACAAAGAGTCCCCCCCACACACACACACACCCCTCCACCAGCCATACATACTCCCTGTGCCTGTTTGGGCTGTTCATCATCCACAATCAGCACAAAAATTGATCTTGTCTGCTGCCATCACACAAGGGCAGAATGAAACGCTGAAGTATTCCTTCAGTACACAAGTGCCAGCTATGGATAAAAGCTGAAATACATTTGCCCCAGAAATTCTCCTTTGACAGCCAACATTCAGTGTGCACTTGATCAGCTTCAAGTGTTCCAGGTAACACTTATGGTACTTGACAGCAGCAGACACACACACACCAATGTCCAATAGATGCCACAAAATTCTATTTTACTAAGGATGCTGGCTTTTAATATTGTTAGTCTGGAAGCATCCCTTTAAGTAAAGGGATGACAAATAAACCCCGTGTCAGATTTGGCATGTCAAATTCAACAGCTTAAATTCCAAAACTGAAGACAATGCATTTCAGATTCTTTTGAAATTTCCATTTCAGTTTTAGTCACTGCTGTTGATAATGTTTAGCTCCATGCACAGGTAAACAAACCTTTTATGCTCGTCTGCTTTCGTTTCAAATGCCTTGAGGACTCAGCCTCAAAACTCCCCTGCCCAGGATTGTCTGTCTTCGCATGTATTTGGAGAAGCACAGGGGAGCTGAGGGTCTTGTCTCCAACGCAACTGTTCTCCTTTGAGTGGCTCAACAGCTCTTGAGGTGACAACACTTTAAAATGGGAGACCTTCTCCCATTTGTAGTCCCCTTCAAGTGGGGTTTCTGTTTCAAAGTCAAAGTTCCACTTGCGCTGGGCCTCCTTCAATTCCGCCTTCATCATGGACTGGAAGTCATTCTGGAGCTGTTCATGATCCACTGGCCCAAACAGGTTCCTGCAAAGCTTCCTGCTGCAGGATGACCGTGGGATATCACCCTGAGACAGAGGCATTTCCTTCAGCTACAAGGAAGAGAAGCAACAGATGTTTAGTATGCAAGTACTTAGAAGTCCAGGAGCTACAAAGAATACACTATGGAACCAAGAATAACCAACGATGCAACACTTGAAACCTTTCAAGATTTGTCAAAATAACCTCACAAGCCATGGAAGGTGCTCTACCATGTGCATGCATACTTTTTCCACAGCAGACTCCATTCCAACAAAGAGAATTGTATACTCACCAGTTAGAGAATCACAGCTACCACCTCCATCCTAAATACAGTCCTGTCAAATTTCTTCATTTCATAAAGCATGAGAGCCAGTGTGGCATAGTGATTAAAGAGTGTTGGACTAGTATTTGGCAAACCCAGGTTCAAATTCCCACTCATGCCATGGAAGCTTACATACACTCTCAGCCTAACCTACCTCACAGGACTGTTGTGAAGCTAAAATGGAGGAGATGGGAACAGCGTAAGCAGCCTTGGGTGCCCACTGGGGAGAAAGGCAGGGTACAAACGAATTAAATACGAACTTATTTGAAAACCATTTCCAGTGTAGTATCACCTGGTACCAATTATCAAGGTTGGCTCTAATATATTCAAATTGGAAGCACAGCTCTGTATGCTATACTCACTTATTACAGTAGGGGTCACATGCCAATCAACTGACCAGTCAAATATTCTAAGTTCACAACCAACTGCTTACCTGTAGTCAGGCACTGTCAAGTATTTCAGGGAGCCAAGAACACTACTGTTTGGGCAGCAGCTGAGCTCACTGTACAAAAGCAAACTTCTGCCAAGGCTTCCTTTCTTGATTAGGCCAGTGGCGGCTGCCCCCTCGCCCTGTCCCACAACGAAGCAAATGTTAAAAGCTTCTCCAGATGACCACCTGCACCAATTACTTTAATAGCAGTTATTATGTTACTTTGCTTTATTTCTATTTGAAGTACTGATGGTACAGATGTTTTACCCTGATGTAGTTCCACATTTGTCTTAACCAACACTGTTGAGCCACAATCCAATAGGAGTGCTCATTTCATTGTTCACAGTAACAGTTGACTTGTATGTTATAATTAGCATAGTATTATATTAGCACAAGTATCAACCCTATTTTACCTATTTAGTCTGAAGTTATTTCTTTAAAAATACTTGACCAGTTTTTAATCAGACAAATGCCAATCCCTAGATTATATGACCTCCCCATAAATCTTAACTTTGGCTGTTCCATTGTACTCAAATATCTGAAATGTTAGCATCTGACTTACTCCAGACAATACTGTGGTATTTTACTCTTAGAGCACTGGTTCTTAGTCTTACTGTCCAGCAAGTGTGCAACAGCATAACTGGATGCCCCAAGCAAAAAAGTGTCCTAAAACAGTACTCTAGACAAGGCAACTTCATGTGAACAGTGAATAGCTGTATTTATGACATGCCTTTGGTACACCCATCTCAGGCATACAATTTTTTATGAGCCTGATTGACACTTGTTGAAGAACCTGTTCCTCCTTTGTCTTGTTGCTATTATAGTACTCCCTTTTATTTCTGGAAGCTTATCTCACACACACTTGATCTCATGGATGTCATGTATTTGTTATTTGCCCCAGCTGAGATTTTATGTTTAAGGCATGGTGACATAACACCACAGTCTGTCAGAAGCCAGGAGGAGAAGGGGCTTCCTAAAATTCTGAATGCCTGCCAAGAGCTGTAGTTAACTATACGGGGATAATATTACCCCAGTTAGATCCTAGGACCACCCAAAGGCATATCCTAAATCATCCACCCAGATTCAAGAGAGACAGAGGAACATGGAAGAGATAAATGTGTTAAAAGCAACTACCTACAGTTGTATCAGCAATGTCATGGCAGTGTAGGACTCTTTGTACTAAGTATCTGTTTAAGTAACATAGGACTGCATAGGACAACCTTCAGTTTTGTCACATTTCCAAGTAAACTTGTAGCCCTGGCATGATAACACTGCATGCTACACAGATATATCTCTATATAATAATTTTATTTTTAAAAAGCCAACATTCCATGTGCTCCCTCAGCCATTGGCCCGTCAGCCGTCACTCGAGTACTCATGTGCCGTAGGCCGGGTGCTGGGTCTGCTCCTCTTCCCCACCCACTCCCCCTTCAACCACTGTGCCCTGTCAGAATTACTGGCAAACTGCTTTCTCTCTTGACGACAACACTTTTCCTGCTTGCCTCCTGTGTGGGACTAACTTTCCCCTCAGTGGCTGTTGGTAGGTGTCACAAAATGGCAGTTACCTGTGTTCGTAAGATGGCTATAGTTCTTTGTTTAAAATGTTCCCCCATAAGGTTTAATTGAGCTGTAGTTCCAGAGAGGGGCCTGGAGAAGTATCACTCACTGGGTTGAATGGGACTTCCTCATCTGCTGGCCTACAGTTCCCAGCTGCCCCAAGGCCAAAAAGTGTGGGAAAACAGGGACTATCCCAAGGCAGAAATTCAGCCACTCCACAGTCGGCTGGACTGGGGAATTAATGGCAGTTTTCCTGCTTTCTTGGGCAAGAGAGAGGCTGAAGTACAGCTAGAGGCCGGTCCAAGGAATGATCCTATCCTGAGCCCACAATCTCCAGAGGTAGAGAGTATTGTGTGTAGGGCACTCTGCACAATACTAAAGAGAGGGGATAGCCCAGGGAAGCAAGAAAAGGCCAGACCCTTGGGTTGCCAACTTTCCAGGGATCCCCCAAAGATTAGGCATTTTAACTTCAAATAGGGAGATTCGGCTAGAGGGGTCTCACTGTCCCTCTAAAAAGGCAGTGACAATTCCATGAGTGGTGGCAGTGAATTTAAGGAGTGATATGCCCACGGGACAAGGGTGGGAGGCAAACAGCTGAGTTGTAAACTGGAGCCCATTTCACCACAGTAGGCAACCAAGCTTGGTTCAGACAAAGGAAGGAAACCCTTCGCAGGCCTTTGTGAGGAACTCATTAGGGCCAGTCCTTAGGGTTGCCAGCTCCAGGTAAGGAGATTCCTGGAGATTTTCCGGTAGAGCCTATGGAAGCCAGGGTTTGGGGAGGGGAGAGGCCTCAGCTGAACAGAATACCATACAGCCCACCTTCTAAAGCAGTTATTTTCTCCGGGGGGGGGGGAGGAGAGATCTGCTGTCTGGAGTTCAGTTGTGATACCTGGTGATCTTCAGGTTCCACCTGGAGGTTGGCTGCCCTAGGCATAGCAGTCAGTGCTTCAGAGCAGGGTCTGCTAGATCCAGGTTCTTGCTGTAGAAGCTGAGTGGGTGATTTTGAACCAGTCACAGACTTTCAGCCTAACCTACCTCACAGCGTTGTTGTGCAAGTCAAAAGTGTCTTGCATCACCCATTTTAAGATTATAGCAGTTATATTCTACTCAGGATGTGAATTGCTTTGCTCAGTAGGCAAAAAAAAAACCCTAGAGGGAACATTGATATGGGCAAGTATGAATACAAGCTAACATGGGGGAAGACAGTCTCCTACTACCAGCCCAAGGATCTCTTACACCATTGTCTTTCTAAAGAGACTGAATGTTTTTAACAAAATGCAGCTGAGAAATCAGGTATCCCATCTGGCTAACATAGTCACATCATAGTCCAATTTAAACTTCTTATGTGAAAAATACATATTTATTTAATTTATAATCTGAATTTATAAACTGCCCTCCCCAGAGTATGCATGACTGAATAAAGTGTTTGGGAGGCACTGTACAGACTTTTTGGGAATCCCTCCACTTACATCCGGCCGATACGTTTCCAAAAGACAAGCTTATAATGTTGCCTTCCTCCAATGTTCAGGTTAGAAAGAGGCAAAGAGATTAAAATAGCAGCATCCTTCATGCTCTCTTCATAAACAGCTATGCAAGATGACATCATAGCAAAAAAATTCAGACATACCAGAACAAGCCCTGGCAGGTAGTAATGATGCCAAGGACAAGCCTCAACTTGATTTCTTGTTAAGTCACCACTTCAAAGCACTGGAGTAAAGTGGCTAGGAGGCAACTGGAGTATCCACATTTTGATTCCAAGCAAAAAGGTTAGCCACATTTACTGTCTTGATGATAGTCTCACTGGGCATCCATTGGAATCCACTAAGCATGAAGACTGCAGCAAAACTAAAAATGCACCCTCCCACTCCCCTTCGTCAGATAAGGTTGCCAACCTCCAGGTGGTGGCTGGAGATCTTCCACCATTATAACTGATCTCCTGGCAACAGACATCAGTTTCCCTGGAGAGAACGGCCTCTTTGGAAGGTGGACTCTATGGCATTACACCCCACTGTAGCCCCTCCCCTACCCAAACTCTACCCTCCACACTCAAACCCTCCAAGTACTTCTTGTTGGAAGTTCCAGATGTAATGTCCTCTGTCTCAACCTCCAGACTGAGTGGCAAGAGAGACTAGATAGCTAGACAGGCATACTGACCTTTCTTCCTGTATCTACTCTTCTGCCCCTATCCTCTTTGATATGCAGATTGTGTTCTCAGGGATCAACTTCCCTTTCCCTCTCTCCAGATGAAGACATGATCTCTACCTGCACGCACCAAGAGACGGATATGCAGTCCTCTCTTGGCACCATGAGGCAGATGGGCCTCTTGCCATCTGTCTCCATCCTTTAGCTAGTAAATTAGTAATCTATCAATCTCAGCTCTTTCCTATCCAAAGTGTACTTCTCATATCAAGAGAGAAGTATTTCTCTTCTAAACTTGCAATGTGGTTCTGTGTAGCTTTGTAAGCTGAGCCAGTTTTGTGTAGTGTTTAAGTGTGCGGACTCTAATCTGGGAGAACCAGGTTTGATTCCCCACTCCTCCACTTGCAGCTGCTGGATGACCTTGGGCAAGCCATAGTTCTGTCAGAGCTGTTCTCTCAAAGACACTTCTGGAAAGAGCTCTCTGAACCCACCTACCTCACAGGGTGTCTGTTGTGGGAAGGAGAAGGGAAAGGAGTTTGCAAACCACGGGGTATAAATCCAATCTCTTCTTCTTCAAGTGATGCTCCTGCGTCTGTAGCTTTATTTAAGCACTCTTGCTAACTAATGGTGACTGAACTAACCACACCAGTTAACCTCAATACTTCCCAACCCGGAGCTGGCAACCCTACTGTCAGGTAACATCTGAATGTTTACACTGTGGAAGGAAACAAAGGCCTTGCCACATGACCACTACAGCAAACGGTAGCTGCAGCAAGTTTAAAATATGCTGAATCCTAGTCCATAGCCAAGCTGGTCATGTGTGCTATCATATGCTTCCAGTTCACCACCCTAAAACTGATAAAAGTAGAGTAGCAGTTTTTTTTTGAAAGAAGAGTTTTACTGATACCACAGACCACCCAAAAGACAAATAAGTGGGTTCTAGATCAAATCATGCCTGAATTCTTCCTAGAAGCTAAAATGACTAAACTGAGGCTATCATACTTTGGTCACATCATACGGGAGAAGATGAGAGTCACTAGGAAAAAATAATGCTAGGAAAAGTTGAAGGCAGCAGGATAAAAAAAGATGAACCAACATGAGATGGACTGACTGAATCAAAGAAACCACGGCCTTCAGCTTGCAACACCCAAGCAAGGCTGTTAATGATAGGATGTTTTGGAGGGCCCTTTCCACATTTGTCTGCCACTCTGGATTATCTCAGTGTTCGAGTCAAGGTGATTTAAGTCCCCAGCGGAACAGCATCCAAAAAACCCAGGGCAGAGACAGGCTGAAACCAGGCTGACCACTGAAGAAGAGAGGGGGGGGGGGGGGGGGGCAGGGACCAGAACGAAAAGAAGGCTGAATTCGATTTTAGTGCAGAATTGCTTGGAGAACACTGCGGCCAACATGGATTAAAAGGAAAGTACAGAAAGGGCCAAGGTCATTAGTTTATAGGGCTGCCATAAACTGGAAGCAACATAGTAGCCTATCACATACTTGAGTTTTTAACCCTATTTCATAGCAAGTCCTGGAAAGTAGTTTTGATGCTATAAATCTTATGCATAACGGGATGTGTGTATGCACACATATACACACTCTAGCTAAAGTAGAGGCTGGAAACCAGCCTGTACAAGAAGTTTCCTTGATTGTCCTGCCATAACACTGATGCCCTGCTATGTAATTTGATAGTTAATGTCTTCATACTTCGGGTATTTGATACCAGAGTCAGAGCTGCCATCCCCCCGTCAAATTCTACAGGTGGATTCATCACTACAACCTTGGGGAGGGGATTACCTATACAGAACCTTCTGCAGGAGAAAGTGACACTTCACTTGCAGTACAGTTTCAAACTTAACACCTTATTCTCAATCATAACCAACCTCTAACTCCACCCAACTGCATTTGCCAACAACCATAGGTTAAAAAAAACACATCCTACCACTTTGCCCTGCCCTTGAAGCTGCCTTATACCAAGTGAGGTCTTGGTCAGGCAAGGCTAGGCGTTGGGTACTCTAGGATCCTGGAGAGACACTGCCAATCAGCTAGAAGTCTTTTGTATCACTGACTTTCTGATCTTGAATGAAACTTTGTTGGTCTTAAAAGGTGCCACTGGACTCAAACTTTGCCCTGCTGTTTCAGACCAACAGAGCTATCCCACCTGAATTTTTCTGATCTTTGTAACTAGTGATTGAACCTGGGACCTCCTGCACACACAGTAGATGATCTACTGCTAAGCCACAGGTCCAACCTTACCCTTGACCTATTTTAGAGCACCCTGAAGGTAGGGATAGCTCGGTGTTTGCACATATATAACACTACACTGCATAAAGGGCTTTTCTGTTGTCGTAAAACCCTGCAAGGTCTTCCCTAAAAAAACCAACCACCAGCCAACCACCATTCAGGTGAGTACTGTAGGGGCAGTAGCTTAAACTAGAGTTAGGTGGTTCATTTCTCCCTACTATATCAGCGGTCTGCATGCACGCTCCTGGACTGCCGGCCTGCAAGTGCCAGCACCCGCCCCAGCCTAGCGGGAGGCAGCGCCGAAAACGACCGCAGCGCTCACCCGGCGCTTACGTCACCCGCCCTCCCCCCCGCGCAGCAGCCGTGTCACGTGCCGTGTTGGAAGGTTGCGAAACGTCGCTTGCCACACAGCCGCCGGCTTGCCATCGCCAGATATACAAACAGTGTTTACTACGACTCCGCCCCACCCTCCAGCCTCTCATCCAGCCCAAATGCAACAAAGCAGTTTCAGGTGCTCGGAGGGAGAGAAAAAAAAAGAGAGGAAGGGATGGCTTAAAGGGGGGAGGGGGGGGAGAGGCCCGAGCCCAGGAGACGAAGGTAGAAGCGCCTCCGTCCGCCAGCTTCCCAGGAATCCTAAATGCGGCGTCTCAAACGCGCCCCCTAATTGGGCGGATTCTCTAAACAGACAGTGCACAAAAATAAAACACGGCTTGGGAACAAGGAGTTCCCAACCGAGAACAGAACATCGGCGGGGGGGGCCCCCTGGGCAGACAGTCAAATCCGAGTCCCACCCCGACAGGGCTCTGCCTTTCCTGTCTTCCGCCCGCGGAGCTGGGAGAGCTCCTCGGAGGCAGGGACCTCCCCTCCCTTTTTTTTCTTTCTTTCAAGGAAGCCACTCGCGTCCTCCTTCTACACTACAGGAAAGTGCCCCGCGGGGCGCGTCTTGAGTGGGCACAGCCAGGGGGCAGTGGCACAGCCTGGGCTGGGCCTGCTCTCTTACATCAGCCAGGAGTGACTGTCACTGAGTCACGGCCGCCTGACTCCTCCCGCCGAGCAAGCAGCGACCGCTTTCCCGCAAGGCATGGGCATGCCTCGACAAGCTCCCCTTCCCCGCATCACCACAGACTCCACAGCACCCCTTCCGTCCGTCGCCGGAAGGGTATGCAAGGAGGGCTCCGCGGACTTCTCGTCACGGCATCGCCGCCACCCCCCCACGCACGCACCGTCCAGAAAAGCGCACCACCGGAGACGCCGGTCCCCCCCCCCCATTTCTCTTCCGCTCCCGGACCGAGCCCTTCGACACCGCTTCTCTCTGGAAGGGCAGCATTTCGCTACAGGATTCCCTGTCCCTTTGAACGACCGTGAAAGGTTACGTTTCGGTGCAAGTGGCAGGTTACGTGCACACTCACGCGTCGCCGTACCCTCGCTGCTCATAAATGCCGGTTTATCGATCCCGTGTTTGTAGTCCAACCCTAACCAAACCACAACACTGCTTTGCGAGAAGGCTCGCTCTCATTCTCCGACGGTGCTCGTAGGGACCAGGCTCCCCGACCTCAATGGGCATCGCAGTTATGGATACTCCGGCGAGAGGAACAGAGACAACATTCCTACAAGGTTCCATCGGGATTTGGGCCCCCTTGGAAGAGAACATTCTCGCGCCTTCCTCTTATCCTAAAGCAGAACACACGAAAGCCTCGAAAGGAAAAAGGAGGGAGCGACCAGGACAATCCCTGCCCTTAGGAGGGGCTAACAGGAGGAGAACAGGTGGAGATGACGAAGAAATTTCCCTTGGAAAAGCCAATTTATCTTAACATCACGAAATGACAAGAAGCCCCTATAATAATTGGGACAAACTTAGCACACTAGTTCCCTTCCCCCGACCAAACTTTATCTATGTAACTTCACATAAGGAAAGTCAGATGAGCACGGAAAAGACGCGATTCACACACACCGCGGGCGCGAGATCCAGGATGGATCAAGAGCATCGAAACAGGTTAGTCCCAGGCCAGATGGAAGGCACAGGAGTACCGTGAAGCCACATGAAAAGGACTTTTCACCACCACCTGCGAGGTGTTGAGCGATACCTACGCAGAATTCCATCAAAGCCACCAAAACACCATAAATCAGGCTTAGTTGTACCCTGATAGTTATCCAAAGCAACACCGGGAGAAAGAGAGAAACAAACCGGGAAACTCCAAAGACCAAACAGTCCTCACCTCCCGTTTTGGCGTCCTGGTCATCTGCTGCCAAAACGCCCGCTCTCAGTTACCGCAGTTCTGACTTCAGCAGGCGGTGGCTGACTACATAAAGCCCTACAAGACTCCGCCCCCTCACGAGCAGGGGGCGGGGCTTCACCGCCCCCTGCTAATCTAGTCTAATTGAGAGCCGTGGAAACCAGGAATTTCCATAGAGCCGTCTTCTTTCTCCTGCCTGCGGTTGACTCTCAGCCTATCGTCCCCATCCCCCCCCCCACGCCTTTCTAGAGACGCAATCAGTGCCGGGACAAGTTCTTCCGCAAAGGTAGCCGCCTGAGTTGCTCCCAACAGAAAGATCTCCGATACCAGACGTTTTCTTATACAAAAATTACATGGAAAATTTGTGCTACATGGTCAGAATCATACGTGGGTTTAGTGGCTGTCTTAACACTATCGAAGGTGGCACAAATAGCCTAAGAAAAGCTCAAAGGAGTATTTAAAGTTCATGTGTGAAAAATTCCCTAAAGTTATTCTGACGCATGAATTGGAAAGGATCACATCTCTACTGAGGGACAGTGTCATTTTTTTAAAAAATGCTCCTATACCTTTAAGAGCTGTATGAGAAGTCAAAATTTAGCAGCTGAAGTATACAGATGCTGCAATGGAACAAGCTATGCTCCTTGAATGACTGTCAGATTCCTGAAGGTGTCTCTCATTTTAGAGGGGGGGGGAGACAACTTGCCAGAAGCAGAGCTGACCCAGCTGAGTTCTGAGAAGGAGCAGGAGATAGAGCTACTAGACGGGTGAGTGTTTTTTATTTACTTTCAGCTGAGGTGCTTTAGCTGAGAGGGTACTGTGTTTGGGAGTATTTGAATAGCTGCTGCCAGCACTCTGCTGGGGGAGGCCTCTATTTAAGGAAGCACCTTGCCAGAGGCACGAGCCTCTGGCACGAGCCGAAGGGCGAGCTAAAGGGCTCTTTGCCCGTGGCTCTTAGCCCAGGGACTCTTGGACTAGGGGCTCTGTGAGACGCCCAAGAAGAGGCAGAAAGTGAAAACCCTAGGCTCCTTGTTTTCCCCATAAAGTAATTTGACTTTGACAAGAAAAAAACACATAAATACAAAGGGATTTAAAAGGGGGATTACATTTACTTATTTTAAAAGAATTATGAAGCCAGAATGCCAGCAGGGGGTTGGGGGCTATCCAGTGTTTTGCACAGAGTGTCACATGTATGACTATCTGCCCACTGGGCAGAAGTCTTGGGTGTGTGCTCGGTGCAAGGAGCTCCTGGTTCTCAGGGAACGTGTGTGCTCCCTTGAGGCCAAGGTGGCTGACCTGGAGAAGCAGAGACAGTCAGCTAGGCGCACAGAAAAGACTCTCGGGGACTTGTTAGCTACGTCCCACTCTGGATCTGGCAGCCCCGCTGCTGTCAGGGAGCATGAGGGTCTAGGGGAAACAGGGCACCGTGCTGAGGATAAGGGGAATGTGCCCTCAGAAGGGACCTCTTCCCCAGCTGGTGAGCGGTTATCCTTTTGCACCAAGGAACCATCCCTGGGCAGGGTGGGAGGGGGGCTCTTGGTAGTGGGTGATTCGATCCTTAGGCAGGTAGACAGCTGGGTGGCGAACCCGCGTACTGACCGTATGGTGACTTGCCTGCCTGGTGCAAAGGTAGCGGACATTACGCGTGTTTTAGATAGGCTGGTAGATAGTGCTGGGGAGGAGCCAGTGGTCGTGGTGCATGTCGGCACCAACGATGTGGGGAAATGCAGTCGTGAGGTCCTGGAGGAGAAATTTAGGCTGCTGGGCAGGAAACTCAAGGCCAGGACCTCCAAGGTAGCCTTCTCAGAAGTGCTACCTGTTCCACGCGCAGGGCCGGAGAGACAGGCACAGATCAGGAGTCTCAATGCGTGGATGAGACGATGGTGTAGAGGGGAAGGGTTCAGGTTTGTTAGGCACTGGGATTCTTTTTGGAACAAGAGGGAGCTGTACAGGCGAGACGGTCTCCACTTGTCCCGAGAAGGAACCAGGCTGCTGGCGCTTAAAATCAAAAAGGTGGCAGAGCAGTTTTTAAACTGAATATTGGGGGAAAGCCGACAGGAGATGAAAAGTCTCTGGTTCGGGTTGGCTCATCTCAGAGAGATGAGGGGGTACCTGTTGCTTTTCTACAGGGAGGTGGATTGAAATTGTCCACTGAGACCATGGCTAGTGACATGGACTGCCTGACAAGGTCTCGAGATTGCAAGAGGAAGGTGGCAGGCTTAACCAGTATGGGAAATTACAGCTGTTTCTATACAAATGCTCGAAGTGTCCGAGGTAAAATCGGGGAGTTGGAGTGCTTGGTGTCAGAGGGAAAAATAGACATTGTGGGTATTTCAGAAACTTGGTGGGATGAGGAAAATCAGTGGGATACGGTGATTCCCGGTTATATATTATATCGGAAGGATAGGGGGGGAAGGGTTGGAGGTGGGGTGGCTCTGTATGTCAGAGAGGGTATAAAGTCCAGAAAGATCGAGAGGCTAAGAGAATTGGATTCGCTTCTTGAAGTTCTGTGGGTTGAAATAGGGGGGCCAAAAGGAAACTTAACACTGGGAGTTTGTTATCGCCCACCGGATCAAAAGATAGAGGAGGATTATAAAATGATGAATGAATTAAAGATAGCAGCTAGACAAAAACACTGTGTCGTAATAGGTGATTTTAACTACCCACACATTGATTGGGTCAATATGTGTTCTAGTCGAGAGAAAGAGATTGAGTTTCTAGACACTCTAAATGACTGTGCTATGGAGCAGATGGTCATGGAACCTACCAGGGGAGAGGCGATCCTTGATTTGGTCCTAAGTAACACTCAAGACCTGGTGAGAGATGTAAAAGTGATTGCACCGCTTGGGAACAGTGATCATAATGTTGTTGAGTTCAACATTTGTACAAATAGGGAATTGGCCAAAAAGACTCACACAACCACTTTTAACTTTAAAAGGGGTAATTTTTCTGATATGAGGGGACATGTGGGGAGGAAACTGAAGGGAAAAGTAGAAAGGGTCAAAACCATTGGGGAAGCTTGGAAACTGTTTAAAACTACAATTCTAGAAGCTCAAATAAAATATATTCCGCAGGTTAGGAAAGGCACAAACAGGTATAAGAAAAAGCCTACATGGTTAACAAACAAAGTAATGGAAGCTGTAAAAGGTAAAAAGGATTCCTTTAAGCGGTGGAAAGCTAGTCACAGTGAGGCTGATAAAACAGAACACAGGCTATGGCAAATAAAATGTAAGTCTGTGGTCAGGCAGGCAAAAAGGGAATATGAGGAGCATATAGCAAAAAATGTAAAGACCAACAATAAAATTTTCTTCAAATACATTAGAAGCAGGAAACCAGCCAGGGAGGCAGTGGGGCCCTTGGATGACCAAGGGGTAAAAGGAGTACTGAAGGATGATAGGGAAATGGCTGAGAAGCTCAATGCATTTTTTGCCTCTGTCTTCACTGTGGAAGATGTGTTGGTGTTGAGACCCGGGTCAGATTGAGATTATAAGAGAGGAGGTCCTACAACTGATAGACAACTTAAAAACTGATACCAGGCCCGGATGGCATACATCCAAGAGTTCTGAAAGAACTCAAATTTGAACTTGTTAATCTCCTTACAAAAATGTAATATTTCCTTAAAATCTGCCTCCATTTCTGAGGACTGGAAGGTAGCTAATGTCACTCCCATCTTTAAAAAGGGTTCCAGAGGAGATCCGGGAAATTACAGGCCAGTCAGTCTGACGTCGATACCGGGTAAATTGGTGGAAACCATTATTAAGGAAAGAATTAGTAGGCACATAGATGAACAAAACCTATTGAGGCAGACTCAACATGGGTTCTGTAAGGGAAGATCTTGTCTCACTAACCTGTTAATGTTCTTTGAGGGGGTGAACAAACATGTGGACAAGGGGGATCCAATAGATATTGTTTACCTTGACTTCCAGAAAGCTTTTGATAAAGTTCCTCATCAAAGGCTCCTAAGTAAGCTCAAAAATCATGGGATAAAAGGACAAGTCCTTTTATGGATCAAAAACTGGCTAATTAATAGAAAACAGAGAGTGAGTATAAATGGGCAATTTTCTCAGTGGAGGGTGGTAAGCAGTGGGGTACCGCAGGGATCAGTACTTGGTCCACTGCTTTTTAACTTGTTCATTAATGATTTGGAGTTGGGAGTAAGCAGTGAAGTGGCTAAATTTGCGGATGATACAAAGTTGTTCAGGGTGGTGAAAACCAGTGAGGATTGTGAGGCACTCCAAAGGGATCTGTCAAAGATGGGCAAGTGGGCGTCAACATGGCAAATGGGGTTCAATGTGGCCAAGTGCAAGGTGATGCACATTGGAGCCAAAAATCCTAAATATAAATACACATTGATGGGGTCTGAACTGGCAGAGACAGATCAAGAGAGAGATCTTGGAGTTGTAGTAGATAACTCACTGAAAATGTCGAGACAGTGTGTGACTGCAATAAAGAAGGCCAATGCTATGCTGGGGATTATTAGGAAGGGTATTGTAAACAGATCAGCCAATATCATAATGCCGCTATATAAATCAATGGTGCGACCTCATCTGGAATACTGTGTGCAATTCTGGTCACCACACCTTAAAAAGGATATTATAGCTTTGGAAAAAGTGCAGAAAAGAGCAACTCGAATGATAAAAGGGTTGGAACACTTTCCCTATGAGGAAAGGTTAAAGCGCTTAGGGCTCTTTAGCTTGGAGAAAAGACGACTGAGGGGTGACATGATCGAGGTTTATAAGATTATGCATGGGAAAGAGCAGGTAAAGAAAGAGGTACTTTTCTCCCTTTCTCACAATACAAGAACCCGTGGGCACTCCATGAAATTGCTGAGCGGTCGGGTTAGAACGGATAAAAGGAAGTACTTCTTCACCCAAAGAGTGATTAACACTTGGAATTCACTGCCACAGGAAGTGGTGGCAGCTACAAGCATGGACGGCTTCAAAAGGGAATTAGATAAGCATATGGAGCAGAGGTCCATCAGTGGCTATTAGCCACAAGGTATAG